GTTCGAATCCCACCGCTGCCATAACTTTTGTCTTCTGTCATTCTGCCGTGTAGCTTTTGTTGCAAGTGAAATTGTACAATGAAGCTATACAATGCGCTGACATACTGGCAGTACGGTAGTTTGAAATGTGGTGTGTTAGGTAACCATTTCTTCCCATAGAAACGCCATCAATGTTTTCTGTAGTCAGAAACACAAAGTACAACCTGAAGACTTGATGCCGTGCAGAGGCACTGTGGGTGTTTCTTGTATTCAAGCCGCTAGAGGTTGCTCGATGTTAAACTATACAGAGTTTCTCTTTGCGTTTTACTATTCAGGGGCAACAGCGTTCAATATCAACGAGGGTGGACAAAATATTATCATTACTTTAGAGTTGGATCAACACGTGGTTCAGCCAAAAAGCACTAATATAACCGCCATGATTAGTTTGTGATTATGTGTATAAATAACGTGTATAGTAGCGTTAGTTAGAAAATTCTCCCTTTTGCTTTCTTCGCCTTGACTTTATCATTTCAGGGTCTTTTTTCAAGAGAATATTTCTTGCATTATGTTGTGTCTTTGTAAAAGTAAAACTGTACCTAACACCACACGTTTTTGTGTCGATGTTTGATCTCATTTATATAAGATAGATATTATACAAAGAGTCAAGGATTAAGTTATAGCCGGCTACCCTGCCCTCATCCTGCAGACATTTAATAACATTACTAAACTTTTACTTTGGTAGGAGGCGTTCAATGCTCTTCCGGTTCAGTGGAATAGTGCGAACTGTCCTTCCGGGTCAAACCCGCTTCCAACTTCAGAAACCACAACAGAAGGTGCGTTCAGGTTCAGGTCGGACATTACCTGAAGTACTGTCCTTACTAAACATTGTAATTCACCGAGTACAAGTGGACCCGGACTGCACGCACACATGGCCGGTCTACCTCCCGGAGACCCGCAGCTGGTCTCGATGATCGTCAGTCATTTAAAAACTCAGGGTCTCTTCGACCAGTTCAGGAGGGACTGCCTGGCAGACGTTGACACAAAGGTAATGGTTGAAAACAGCTTCATTGCGTCAAATAACGAAGCTGTTTCTGTCTTTGGAGAGTGTTGGTTTGTTGTTGCTGATAATATAACATTAATAGTTCAGTCTGGTTCTATGAAACATTGAAAGCAAGTGTCTGTATTGTGCTACCAGAGAAACACTCCTAACGTTAACTCAGTTACTCTTATTACTGTTGAGCTGCTGGCCTTTACAGGAGGAAGGTTACAGTTAATATTTATATTTCTCTTCATTAAAACACAGCTAAAGTTATACTTAAAGACTTAGTTAGGATGGACCGGTGGTGTAAATTCATCACATTTAACACTGAATCACTTTTAGGGCCTTTCTTTCGGGTTATTATGGTTGTGTTATTGGTTTATGACATTGAATAAAACATTATTTTGAACTTATTAAAACCCAAAATGTAGAAAGTATTGAAGTGGTAACCCTAACTTTTCCATGTCCATAAAAAAATGTCCATAAAGCATAGTTATTACCTCAGATAAGGGAATATTCATGTTTTATAGGTTATATAGGCTATGCACGAACAAATATATGTTAGGTTTGTTTGCCACAAAGTCATTCAAAAACAGAAGAAATGCAATCAATTAAAGGTATTAATAAAATATATCAGTTAAACTCCACAGAGAGAGAGAGAGAGAGAAGGACTGTATGAGTTTGGTTGCATATTTCATTGTAAAGTTTGCAGTTTGGCAGCTGCCTGACTCTCAGGTTTGCTGTTACACAGTCTGAAAACAGTCTGCACTTTATCCACCTTACCATGCATCAATAATGCATCTTTTTACATACTAAAGGTGGATTAGTGATGAATTGCTTATCTGACGCTAGTTTCAACACAAGACTATTTTTAACCACTTAAACTAATTTATAACATATCTACTTACTAACATACAAAAACACTACTAATAAACAATCTGTAATTTAATTGATTCATCAAGAGCTTTTAGTAAAAATGTTGTTAATAGCAAAAGCCTCTCTGTGTTCATTTTCTTGCTTTGTCTTTTGCAGCCAGCTTACTTGAATCTGAAACAAAGAGTGGACAACTTTGTCTCCAATCACCTCTCTAACCACACATGGAGCCCTCATTTGAACAAGAACCAGCTAAGAAACAACATCAGACAACTCGTGCTGCAGTAAGTGACACATTTCCCCTCCTGTTCTTTATCTCTGCTCGAGCTAATTGTCCATCATCAGAAAGTATTCTACATTTCATTTAATTAACAGCTGTGTCTTTTTGCTTTGTGATGCTTTAAAAGTAGTTTTGTGTGAAAGGAACCCAGAGTTAAATCCAACTGTTCCTCTTAGGTCTGGGATGTTGGAGCAGGGAGTGGACAGGATCGTAGCCCAGGTGGTGGATCCCAAGATCAACCATATCTTCAGGCCACAGGTGGAGAGGGTGGTCCGTGAATTTCTGTCACCTGGCAGCTGCTCCGAGGAGCCACCGGCCCCTCTGTCTTTAACAGAGACCAAACCAGACAGCAGCATTCTTGAGCAAGGTACACAGCATTTCATCCCAGCATCAACCATGACTGCCACATCTGATGTTGTGATGTTTTTGATTTTAACCACTGAAGGTGAATTCTTTTCCCTTCTTGGTCCCTTCATAAGGACGTCAGCATGCAGGTCTGCTGTCTGCCTGCGGCTGGTAACTACTTAACTGCAGACAAGAGCAATGTTCTTGTTTGGATTTCCCCTAATCCTTTGCACATTGAAGGAATGGTTCCAGATTTTGGAAGACACGCTTATTTGCTTTCTCTCTTAGAAAGACGGCAAATAATTTCATTCCCTTTCAGTTTTTCTTTATATTGTTTGTAAAGTATCACTTGGCAACTGTACAGAGTACAGTGAGGATTCAGACTGCTGAAATTAGGTTTAAAACATATCTGTTAGCATTTAGCAACTAAATTAAATTACATAGAGATCAAAATCTCTTTTTCATGAGAGACCTAATAACAGGAAACATTCATAGACGATCAGTCACACAAGCAGCACACAAGAAGAACGCAGAAAGAGCCAAACAACCAATAATCAAGTCACAAATTGAATAATGATCTCCTAAATGTCCGCCTCACACTGACATAGTCGACATGTGACATTACATTTTTTACAGCCTCATCGTCTGCTCCAGCCACCACCTCAGCCAGCGACGCCATGTCCATCCTGGACACCATAACTTCTCTCAACCAGGAGGCCAGCGTCAGGGCCAGCTCAGGCACAGATAGAGGACGTAAAGGCCAACTGTCAGATGAGGCCATGCAGCTGGTGGAGGAGGGCGAGCTGGACATGAGCATTGTTGATGAAGAAGAAGGCCACCCTGACGCGAAGACGCTGGAGGAGGCAGAGGAGCTGGCATCAGAGATCCAGGCGTTTGAGGTGAAGACGGAGGACACGCAGGAGCCGATGGATCTGGGAAAAGAGGGGTTAATAGAGGAGGTGAAAATGGAAGAGGAGGAGTTGGGAGCTCAGGAGCAGACAGAGGAGGAGAAAGATAAGGCTTCTAGCAAAACAAGTGGAAAACCCACAGAGGAGAGGCAGGATGATGATGTGCTGAAATCTACAAGTCAGGCCAAGCAGAAAGCCAAAGAGAGGATCAAGGAAGGTGAGTTGTTGTACCCTCTGTATGTGTTTCCAGGTTTAGAGCAGTATAACCTGCATGCACAAAATATTCTGTGACAGTTAACGGAGATATGTGCATTTTCTTACAGTAGACAAGTTCATGCAGAAATGAATAGCTGAGTAGGGAGTAGTAGTAGTAATCAAGTGAAGTCATCTATGAAGCAAAAATACAACAAATTCTTTGGTGGACTTAAGAATTTCTCTTATGTTATTGTAAATCTTTGGGTTTTGGACCATTAGTTGGACAAAATAAGCAATTTTTCATGATTATTAGACATTCAATAGAATAAACTATTCAACAATGAATCTACAAAACAACCAACAGATTTATGGATAATGAAAATAAATGATTTTGCAGAACTAAAAGTTATTAATGGCATGGAACATGACCATATGCAGTTAGGTTATGTATGCTGCCATTATTGGTAAACCTCTATATATAATACATATTTAGGTTCCATTACAATAATAGTTTTAATGGCTTTATATATTTTTTTTGGCTAAACTCTAGGAATGTGTCTCCACATCTCTAGAAAGATTTAACACCAATGTTTCTTCTGCAAAAACATAGACCTACATTATGTAGAAAGTAAAATAGTAGTAAGCTGCTTTGATTTGTTGAATATGTTTAAATACTGTTATGTCTTTGCCCTACAGAATACTTTCTGGAGGACTCGGACCTGGAAGGCCTGAGTGACATCACGGTGAGCTCCGTCCACACCAGCGACCTGTCGTCATTCGAGGAAGAAAGTGAAGATGAGGAGCTTCTTTCTGATTCTTCCGAAGAGGGGGAGCTTCCACCAGGTGGTCTCAACGTTTTATTCCTGCTTGTCAAGCAAATGTTGAACAGTTTACTGTATCGTTAAATGTCAAATATGGTCTTTGCTACCACAGAAGTTGAATTTTACGTTGGATTGTAATGTGTGTTTTTCTTTTACCAGATCAAGGGGAGAGAGCGGAAAATAAACAAGGCAGTGGAGACGCTGGAGAAGAAGATCGCAAACCTCGCCGCAAGGCTTACGTTCACAAGCCCTTCCTCTACTCCCGCTACTACAGTGACTCGGACGATGAAATCACTGTGGAGGAACGTCGGAGATCTGCGGTGAGTGGTGTTAAAGTTAACGTTAGAGGTATTAAAGGTACATTAGCAGAGCATCTTTTGCCTCAGTTCTGTTTATGGCTCATTCAAAGGTTTAACTTGACAATTGAGTTGATCAAGAACAAGCAAATAGGTTTTCATGGTTGATTTAATTATTCATTTCTGTCACTGCCGTGTCTTTTCATCCTCAACCGTGTTCTCACAGGCAAAGGACAAAGAGGAAAGACTGCTCAAGAGACAACAGAACCGAGAGCGAATGGAAGAGAAACGTAAACAGAAAGCAGTGCAGGCTGAAGAGCAAGGTATTTCTGTCGTGTCTGCCGCCTGCGGTTCACTGCTTTCACAGTTTCTTGTCATCCCATGTTTGATTTAAATCTCACCTTGTCCGCTATTTTGCTCCCTCCCACTTCGCATTACATAAATGTGGGGACATGTTGCGTAACATTTTGGCCAAGTAGATTATACTAGTGTAAGTTGCATATGTAATGTTCTGCTGTAGGCTCCTCGGTCCATTTAGGAAAATCGGATTATAATAATGGTTTGAGTTTTTTGGGTTGCATGATGTAAGAACTAGAGCATCTTTAGAATCTAACATACTCTCAAAATAGCATTGTGTGCTCTTAACTGTCCCGTCATTTACTAGGCTTTATTTCCTACACAGATCACAAGAAGAAAGAAAAGAGTGGTGACTCTGCTGGGCTGGAGGGCCCCAGAGCCAAAGAGGCTCGCAAAGAAAGGAAAGTTCTGGAGAAAAAAATGGCTCTCAACAGGAAGAGGAAGCTAGACTCAAGGTGGGTGATCAAAAGCTCCAACTCAAACCCACGCAGCTGCTGCTGAACAAAACAACCAAATGTTTAGATTTAAAAAATATATAAATGCATTCATTAATTTCACCCTTCAGGAAAGAGGGAGATGCTCCAAGCAAAAAGAAAGGAGATACAGAAGGATCCAAGAAAGCGGTATGTGACTGATTTCTTCATAGGTAACATGTTTGACCTTGGATCAGTGAGTTGTAACAAACATTTTTGCGTTTTGTTGTTTCAAAACTAGGAAGTGAAATCCATAGCCCCGAAGACTCCACAGCCAAAACTGGTAAGAAATCTGTCAGAATCAGCATCGTCTGATGAGAGGCACAGGAGGATGAGCGGTAGCGTCTCAGAAGATTCCAGCGAACCCAAAAAGCTGTCTGACAAAGGCCGGACCCACTCCTTCATCCTGGAGTTGGAGCAAGGTTCCCAAGAGGCTCTCAGACAACGTTCAGTTGGGAAATTCGATAGGTTGTCCCGTAAAGAAATTCACTCTAAAGAACGCAAAGAGAAAGAGCGCAGCTTGTCAGATGAACGTGCCAAGCTCAAACAAAAGCAGGAGAAAAAATCCGAACATCAGGCAGATGAATCTCAGCAAAAGGAAGGTGCTGCTGTTAAAGTGTCGTCTGAAGAGAAAGGTGAGAAGAAGCCGAAGATTAAAAGTGAAAAGAAAATAGTAGCAACCACGAGAGATGGAAGGTTGTCTGTGTCAGAAGGTGTGACGGACGAGGGTCCTAAAGATGCTACTGTCAAGAAGGCAAAAACTCCATCTATGGAGACCGTCAAGGCAGAGAAGGACAAGATTAAGGAAAAGGAGAAAGATAAGATCAAAGAAAAGGAAAAAGCCAAAGCAGAGAAAACTTCCTCTAAAAGTGATTTCAAGCAGCTGCTCCGCCCCGATTCTGCTGGGTCTTCTGAGGATCGGTCTGACATGGAGCCCGGGTCCGATAGCAGCAAGAAGAAAGATAGACACTCCAAGGAAATCCTGAAAAGGTCGAAGAGCTACACCGAGGACAAGCCAGGAGACAAACCCAAATCTAAAACAGACAGTAAAGATAGCGAGAAGGAAAAGACTAAAGCAGATCAAGACAGCCAGAAATCAAACAAGTCCAGCTCTGAAACTGACAGAGATCCTAAAAGGGTCAAGACAACGGAGAAAGGAAGAATTTTGGAAAAATCTAAATCAAAATCCAAAGACGAAACAAAACCTCTGCTGTTATCAAAGCCGGATAATAAAGTTCAGAGTTCAGAGGTCAGAAGTACCGGAGGTGCACCAGTCAGCAAACCGGAGGCAACAAAGGAGAAGAAAAAAGAGGGAAATGCAAAAGAACAGCGGAAAGTCTCAGAGGAACCTCTCCACGAGAAATCCGAAATCAAGAGTGCAAAGAAAAAAACGGAGAAGAAGGATAAAATCCCAGAAAAGAGAGACGATAGCCAAGAAGAGAAGAAAGCACCCAGAGAAGACAAATTGGACAAGTCTGACAAATCTTCAAAGTCTTCGGCCTCCCCACTGAGTCTCGAGGCAGAGGAGCAGCCGAAGAAGCGCCCTCCTCTCCAAGACACGAGCACCGACTCTGATCCCGTCACCACCACCGTCACCACCTCCTTCTCAGATGACACCTGCGATGCTTTAAGCGACATCACCCCCGAGCCACCCGAGGGCGAGACAGAGTCACGGCTCAGCGAGATCCCAGCCGTGCCGGCTGAGGCCAATGCTCTGCTGACCCTCATGGACGTTTGTACCTCGGCAGAGGCGAGACTTGCGCCCGAGAGCAGTCAAGAGGCCGCAGCACCCGAGATGACTCTGCAGGATGCTGATATGAAGATGAAAGAAGCAGCTCTGACTCTGCTCTCCATGGATCCCGACAGTACAGTGTCCCCCACCTTAATTTGCCAAGATACCAGGGAAGAGCCGGAGGTGAATCCGACCGCCCCACAGCCGATGGAAACTGCTGCAGCTGAACAAGAAGAGCAGCGTCCTCCTGTGGATGTGCAAACCGCTGCTGAGCCATCACCAGCCGCATCTCAGCAAACTGTTGAACTTGCTGATCAAAAACCAAACACTGCAGGTAACTGATTAAAAAATGATGGCGAATGTATTATTGGCTGCCTAAACATGTCAGAATGTTTATATGTCTAAATAAAAATATGTATCTCTTTTATAGATGTGTCTGAAACAGAGAAAGAAATGGATGTGGAACAGGTTGAACTGATCGAATCGCTTCCTCCACAGGTACAAATTACACATTTGTAACATTCAATTGCCTTTGTCCTGTTTACTCACACTCACTTCCTTCTTGGTAGTAGCGTTTTCAAAGGTGTGCTGCTGTTGAAAATTATTTTTCTGCCCTCTACATAGGAGGATGACTCTACCTCAAATGAACCTCAGGCTCCTTTAAATCAGGAGGAAGCAAAAGGTGCAGAAATGGCTCCTGAAACACAGCCAGATGAAAACATTGCACCACCAGCAGCTGAAGAAGGTAAAACTTTCTTATCTTCTACTTCAGCTAAAATTCAACTGTTGTTTCTTATGTTTTGATCCATTCAACTGCTATTTCTCATCATTTCCAATGTGACGTTTGTTTTCCACAATATTTCAGTTGCTGATGCTGTTGTGTCTGAACCTGAAGAGGTCAGAGGACCCACAGAGGAAAGCACAGTTGCAGTTGTTTCTGATTCCACTGAACAAAGCTCAGAAATGTCTAGTAAACACGGTGAGTGCTTGAAAACCCTCTTGTTGAAAAGATATGTTCTTTCTTTTGCTGACTACTTACTTGCATCTTATTGTTACGTTAGACCAAACTGAACCAGATGTTGCAGACACAAATACAAGCTCCAAGGTGAGGCACTGTTCATGGTTTGCACATTTTAATTGTTTACTTTCTTGAAAGCTTCATGTGACACTAAAATTGTCGTCTTCCTTTAACAATAGGAAGAGGAAGTGGAGGACAACCAGGTCGAGATGGAGGTGGACAGTAGTAAGTATTTTCTTTGATCTAACTTGGACATTAACATCTTTGTAAATACTGTAATTGTATCTGGTAAAGTGAGTTAATCAAAGTTGGGAAATTGGGAACATTTTTAACGTTACTTCTTTTCACCACTAGGTGAAGCTGAGAGTAAGACAGTGGAGGAAGAAAATATTGCAACAGAGAAGAGTGATCCACAAACTGTAAGTGTAACATTTTTATCTGATCTATATCTCCTGTCTGCCTCCTGTATTATTATTATTATTATTATTATTATTATTATTATTATTATTTAGTTTGTTGATTTGTGTATTTTTTTTATAAATTATGTTCAGGTGGAAGACAGTGTCCTAGAGAAGACTGAGAAGAGCAGAGAAAGTGGACCTGAAAGTCCGTCCAAACTGGTCAAACAAATGAGTGAGTTATAATTTTTGTTTCTGTGTCATTGAGAGCATATTGCACCTTCAGGAAGCGACTCATTTTCCTGTCATGTTTTTTTTCTTAATACTCCACTAGAGAGGTTTGTTTGTCTTTAATCTCATTCTTCGCTGCTTGTTTGTATTTTTCAGGTTGTGTCTCCAGCACAGACAGCCAGGAAGATGAGAAGGGATCGGACCTGTCAGAAAAGGTAACACCAAAAAGTTTGTTTGAAAATCAGCTATTGCATATGCATTAAATGTAGATGTTAATACAGCACCCTACCCTCTGTTCTGACACTTTTCTTTTGTCATGTAGGAAGAGAAGACGGAGGGAAGAGGAAGACGTAAACGAAAGCTGTCCAGTCAGAACGTTGCAGCAGTGAAAGAATCAGGTCTAGTAGCTAAGATTAGTCACTAAATTATACTCATATTAATATATTAACCATTTATGGATGAACTGAGTCCCCTGAAGAGCTCCCGTCCTAATGTATTCTTTTATTTTTTGTAACTGATCAGGTGATGAGAAGGATGAGAAGAAAAGTAAAGAGCAACCATCTGTTGAGGTAAATGCAGCCTTTTTTTCCTGTCATAGAATAATCATCTCATCCCATCAACAATGTGTTTGCTCGTGATTGATATGCTCACAGACTTTTGTTCATCTTCAGGAAACGGATCAGGAGAAGGTGGTGGAAGTCAAAACACCACGCAGGGGTCGATCATCCAAAACCACAGAGGACGCAGAGAAGGAGTCTAAAGAACCTGAGAAACTGGAGGAGACTCCGAGCCGCGGGGGAAGACGTTCAGGAGCTGCAGCCAAAGACGATGCCGCTGCTGGTAGGATTGTCACCTTAAATTAGCCAACATGTTAAAGTCTGAAAAACATTATACCATATTCTATAATGGAGATGGATGATTAGGACAGAAACACTTTTAATGTAGTTTTTTTATTTAGGATTTTTTAAAGTATACTTTTCATCATAGTTAATATTCTCATCTTGTTCTGTTATCAGTTATATTATATTGTGCACCAGCCAGAATATTCAAATCATGTCAGATTTCTATTCTAGAAATAGAATTGAGGAGCACTGTAAGACTGCAATGAAATCATCAGATATTTGACTGTGATTATTAGAGAAGTTCAGAGTGTTGACTCAAAGAAGACTCATTTTTATTGCACTTTATAATGAACATATCGTCCTTCTCTAACAGCCAGTAAGGCAGAGTAGGTTCATATGGAAGTGTTGCAGAGTTACAGAATAATATAAGTCTTGACTGTTGCTATTTGTATTTTATTTTTTTACCTCAGATGATCAGAAGAAGGATGAAAATAAAGACGAGGAGAGCACCGATCAAACTTCACCCAGAAAACCAGATGAGAACGAGGAGGTGACAAACATGCAACATGTACACAAATGTTAGATACTTCAGTCAACACTACTAGGTTCACTGTTACAATAACAGTCCGCATTTCTGTAATAGGACATTGTGAGTTAGCTTTCAAATGTTAAACATTAGTCACTACACATCAGACAACATATTACATAACAATATCATATTTTGTACATAACTATACATTATTTTTCCAATATGTAGAGATCCGAAGAGGAAGGTGGACCAAAGAAAATTGGACGGCGTGGAAGTCAGGTCAATCTGCCGTCTCCTGTTCAGGAAGACTCTGAAGCTGCAAGAAGCTCCAACTCCAAAGAGACCACTGACACGCGTACGTTTGTTTTTAATCCAAGTCGTGTGTGTCCTTGCCTTCATGTGTTCTTCTTGTTTAAATGACTAAAAGAACTGTACCGAACTCCCAGCGTCTTTGTACTTGTGTAACTGTCAAATAACATTACTTGAACTGTACGGAGAGGTGTGGCTGCATGTCTGCCAGAGCATTACAACCTCATAAGAATAAGTGAGCCAAACCTCAATAGCTAATTTGTGCATTTCATAGCGTGATGTTGTGAGTTAAACATGTTTTATTTTGCTGTCACCGCTGTTAACAAGCTGTAAAATAGTATGAATGAGTAATTTGGCAACAATAGTTGACATGAGGGAAGCGTGGTAACATCGCTTTTTGTAGAATGTTTTCTAGCTGGTCTGTAAAGGAGATTATGGGATGCATTTTTTGTCAGTTTTGACCTGTTATATTTCCATTCCAGGTAGAGCAGCAGTGAAAAGGAAGAGGTCAGAAGAAATGGAGGAATCTATAGAGGTGAGTTTTGTTGTCTGTGAATTAAAACATTCTCCCCACCTGGGTCTGCAATTGCTCCACCTAAATCTGTATTAGTTTCTCTAGATATATGTCTTCACGTGTATTCAAATTATAACTCTGCAGGAAACCCCGGCTGAAGAGGAGGTAAACAAGGACAACAGTCAACAGGAAGAAAGTGAGCAACAACCGGAAAAAGACAGTGGTGAGAGAGCACGCGCACACACACACACACACACACACACACACTTTATTGAAATGATCATTTATATAAAATAATTGCAGAGGTTCTTGCTTATTGTATCTAAAACTCACAACTTATGGCCTGGATAATTATTGAAGGGACAAAATATTACAACATTTCTATTTTTCCAGGTCATTCCCCTTCAGTGAGCCAGGCAGAGGGTCAAGAGGAGGCCCAAGAAGAGGCCATAGAGGAGGTCTGCAGCGAAAAGAAACCAGATGATGTATGTGGGCAGTAACATAATAAACAACAGTTGTTCTGTATGTTGTAAACACTGTTTGTGCATCCATCACTTTTGCTGTACTGCATCTATTGTCTGTGTGAGGATTGTATTTAAACTTTAATCACATGTAGGACCCTAAATACTTGGTGTTATGTCTCCAGGCTGAGGAGGAGCAACCTCAAGAGGACCAAGAGGCGACTCAGAAGAGACCCGGCCGGAGGGGGCGGCCGTCGAAGGCAGCGGCCACCACAGACGATCCAGGTGAGGGAGTTTAGGGTTGATCTAAATAGAACCAGAAAGGTTCTGATACAAAGGAGTGACTGTCTAAGCTCTAGCAAAGTACATGGTTCATTAGCTAGTTCGTTAGTACAAAATTAAACTATCTTTGTATGGATTGTTGTTTGTCGTATGTTTACTGAGACTGGAATGTCTACATGATTGTAACTCAGTGTTTGTGTTGTAATACCAATTCTGAACTTAAACTGAACTGAAACAAATAAAAACAAACGATTAAAACAGTAAAAACTCATTTGAAACAAGTAAACCCACTATGGAAACTAACTGAAACTAAACTAAAAAAACAAAATTAAAATACAAAATTATAATAACCGTTATAGATGATTAAGGTTTCTAAAAGAGGGCTTTTTTAAATTGAATTATTATATAGTTTCAGTTAAGTGTTTTAGGGAAACACTTATATCTGAAGTTCAGATATAAACCCATAATGCCCTTGACCTCTTGTCATCTTCCCCACAGATAAAAAGGAAAAAAAGGCAGAGGAAAGTGAGCAGAATGATGATGAAGAGGAGGAAGATGACGATGATGGCGAGAAAGAAGAGGAAGAAAAAGGAACTGCAACCAGAGCGACCACACGCTCAGCAGCTCGGATGGAAGCTGAAAGGTAATTTAACAGTTAATGGACACAAATGAACCATAATAACAACGATAACACCGACTGAACTCCAGTATCAGGACCAACAGGTCAGACTTTATTAGATCTTCATTATCTGGTAACAAGATTTTTGAAAAAAAACATGAAATAAAATCAAGTAATTAGAATGAATGAGATCAATTAAATCTTAAAAGCATGGCTGATGACAACCAATCACCAGAACGTCTGCAGAAATCAGAGAAGATTTCCTCCTACAGCGGACTCATGAGTGGCGTCAGAATGAGACACTGGCAGCGGTGATGAATGAGCCTCTGATTGTTTTAGGGCTCGATGTTTGCACCCAGCAGGCATCTTCGCTGTCACATCCTATTAAATTAAAGCGGGGGCAGGGATGATTTAGCACTAAAGCAACAACTGTTGTTTCATATTTGTTTTTATTGCTCCTCAGAAACAAGCCAAGTAAACCATCCACCCGGGCAAGTCGACAGAACGGTAAAGAGGAGACCGCAGCTGGCACGCGGTAAGTTTGTCTTATTGAGGTTCAGCTGAACCAACGAGCTTAAAGGGGAATCCGACCAAAAACTTACTGCTGGGTCGCTGCTTTGTGAAAGAGAACATTTTACCAAACGTTTTCCTGGAATTTCAAACTGTTTTTGAGGTATTGACTCCCAAAATAAAAATAAGAAATCCTTTTGTAAGACCTAAGCTGTTTTAAATGAAGGCATATTAAACATCTGGAATTATACTGCAAGTACAGGATCACTGTCTACAAAAAAAAAACAACAACTTGTGAATAATTTGATTAGAAAATGTTTTTCTTTCTTTTGAGAATACTTAAGGGGGAGACTTTGGGTACTCAATAAATAGTACATGTAATAAGTTTCACATCATGTTTTTTATGCACTGCATGCCCACTTATGCATGTACAAAACAGGGTTATTTCTACAATAATAAGTATCAAAATGAAACATGTCACAGTAAAAAAATACATTATTTAGTTTTATCTTAAGCCATCATTAAAAACGTGGAACATCCATTTTTCAACACAGCAGCTTTTCTAAATCTCCTTTCTTCAATCAAGTTACCTTATAAATTCCTATATACTTAAAGGACCAGTGTGTAGGATTCAGTGGCTATCTGTGTACAGCCAGTGTTGTTTGTCTGTCCTGGGCTGCTGTAGAAACATGGACTCTGTAGAAGAGGATCCGCTCCCTCTATAGACACAGAGAACGAAAACGCTCCCATTCCTACTTTCAGGCGATTATACCCTAATGACCTATAAATATTATGTTCCATTTCTGCCAATATAAATGTTACACACTCAGGGAAGAGACTAAATGAATTTCCATTACTGCAGTATGCAAATATATATATATATACACATTTATTTTAAATCATATCTGTGAGAAAATGTCTCCCTTGTTTTTTTTAGGGTTTTATTTCTTTTTTAATTCATTTAGTCATAAATGTTCTTTTATTTTGTTTTTGAACATTACCACAGTCTTAAAGGAGTCTTTTAGAAATCCATCTTTTCTCTATTCAAGGGGGAATGTGGACACGCCAACGCTCCACTCTGTGCGCTAACATGTAATAAAGGAGCGCTGGTTATTGCAACACTTCTCATGAATAACTCTTGAATTAACAAAGACACATTTTTACAGCTCTTAAACATGACACTTGAGACAAACGGACTGACACTTGCTCCTTGTTTCCCTCCTGCAGTGGGACGAGGGGCCAGGCAGCAGCGGCGGCGAAGGGGGGCCGTAAACGGGAGGCCAGCCCCCCTGCGGTGCGAACGCGGGGAGGACAGAAATCGGAGGAGCCCCCTTCCAAGAGAGCCAAACGCTAAAAAAACCTCTGACGGCGGTGGACTGGTTTGCCCCAGCAGAGTTTTCTCTGCACTCCATATCCAAGTCAGTTTTGTTGTCAGGGGTCAAAGAGTCTCTACAGTCAGTTAGCACGTAAAGCTGTTTCTGCTTCATTGACTGTAGATATTGAAAAGCTCTGGATAGTATTATACACTCTCCTCTGATAGTTGAGTGTAAACCTGAGGATCTGTGTAGGAATCCCCCCAGAATACCTTCTACCGCGCTACGCCCATATGGTTTGGATCAGGCTTCATCATTCCTGCATTTATTCAGTAATGCCCAGTGAACCAGAGGATTTCAGGCCAATCAAAGGCCTAATGTGCAGCCGAGTCGTGCTTTCAGATAAAGAGAGCGAATTAAAATCAGGCCGGAGTGTGTCTCAGTTCCTGCTGAGACTGTTTCACCTCTACAGACAAAACTGTTCCACATTTAAACGTTATCTGACGTTATTGTACATAGGAAACACTGTGAAGCGTCTAGGGTTCATTGTGACTTTATTATTTAATATTCATTCTGTGAATGAAAGGAGGTGTTGTCCTCTCACTTTTTTAAAGTTTTTGTTTTTATACTTTATATTCAGAAGGTATGGGAAGTTGTTTTTATTTGTAGTTCTGGGTTGAAAATAACAGCAGTATTAGTCACTCACATCAGGAAAAACTACTGTACAGGAGCAGTTACTCTACAAACTGAATGTTCTTCATAACAACATGCAGACAAAGAACTGTTTCTTACTATTGAGGTAATCTATAGTTATTTGTATTGTTTTAGAGTTAACTGTTTACCAATATAATGGTGTTAGATATCTTGCCTACCTGTTAATGTTTTTGTTTCATAAATGTAAAAATACTGAATATTGCTTCCTTTTTTTATTGTTTCCAGCAAGTATAAATCACTTCAGGTTCTGACTTGTAATCAGTTTCTTTTTTTGTTCCACAAATGTAGTTGCAGTACTACAAATTCAAATTGGTAAATTGGTCTATTTTTAAGTAACTAGTTAAGTTAGTTAGTCCAGAATATACGCAAATGACATTTTTCATAGATTTTCACAGCTTTACAACTTCAAAGATCTAAACTGTGTTGCTTCTGTTTTTTAAAACTTTACACATTTCAAAATCTGACATCTTTGTTTATGAAAAGATAAAATAGTGCACAGATTTTTATTAATTGACCCCTATTATGTCTCGAATGTTATCTCCTCTGTGTTTCCTAAATGGATGTGCTGTCTGTGATGTGTAAATAGCCAAAGACATTACCCAATCACCCGGGAGCGGAGAAGAGGAGGGGACATTCCTGCCTGCTAATGGGGGATAAAACTGACAAACTCAGAATGAAATATTCCACCATCATTAACACGTTAGGAGGCTTTAATCGCTGCACCTGAACTTACGGGATTCAAACAGCATGGAGGGAGGTTACGGAAAGCCAGAGAGTTCTCTGCTTAAAGTTTTCCAACCATTCCTGCGGATTGCTAAATTTGATTCCTTTAAGGTGTACCTCTCTCAGGTATTTCCTGGTGCTGCAATCCAAGCCTTAAAATATTAGCCCAACAGCTCTCATTTAAAGTTTTGGATCAGCTTTCATTTAGCCACCAGGTCTGGCAGACAAACAGCGCTCCTTTCACTCACTGATGCCATTGGAGCGACTTGAGACGTCATTTTTATTATAGTCGTTTGCATTGTAGTCCAAAATGATTTTTGAATTTGCCAAGTAGAATTCTACTGCTGAGTATCAGCAGTTTGAGACACATTAGACTGATTTATAGGCAGCATGTTTTATGAGATGGAGGACCGCTTTCAGCTCAGCAGGGACCTCACATCAAGCAGATTTTTAGAAAGGTAGAGAAAGCAGCAACACAAGATGCTAATCTGAATCTGTTGGTTTGAATCTACTGTACCTGAAAGTATTTTTCCACACACTCTAAGGAAAGCACTGTCAACTTTCAAGCACAACCAATCCAAACTTTTACTCTCATTTTTATTTGTCTGGTATAATCTACAATAACAGTTTCTGACTTTGAGAACACGCACAGTGAGGTTCAGGCCAGTGTGAGTTTAACCTCCAAACACATCATACAACTCCAGCACACCGCACTTTATTCTATCCATTGATCGGTTGTGTTACTTAAATATTGCCATCATATTTCTCGAATAGTTTTTACAAAATACAATATTTACTCAAAGTGGATAGAGAAATATAAATGACAATAGATACAACACATACTGCTAGAGCTGAAACTATCGGTCATACTGCATATACAGGAGATTAATCAGCAACTAGTTTGAGAATACACTTTTTATTTAGTCATTTGCTGTTTCCAGCAGATTTTTGACAAATTGATAAATTAATACTCGTACTCGACTTGTAATCAGTTGCAGCTCTTCGTATTACAACCAACCTTTCACAACATTCTTTTTTGGGGGCTTTTATTGCCTTTAATCGATAGTGACAGGAAAGGAGGGAGAGAGAGAGAGAGGGGATGACGCATCAGCCTTGGTACATGGAGCTATCTGGGCGCTCCCCCTTTCACAACATTTTTAGCAAGTACAATGTCACAGTGTTTAATCCATGAATGGTTAAAAAAGCGGAGTCTCATTTTTCAGAGCAGTCTTCTGCAGTCTTCAGAAATTCTGATTATCAATACACATTAAGAGGTGGGACAGCATACTGTGTCTTGAAATTAAATAATAAATAAGGGTTGACAGTATGTTGAAAATAGAGATTGTGGTAATGTTGCTTTGTAAATTTAATCGAGATTCATACGTCCCATGACTGATCCATGCTCTGATAGTACAGGTACTACTACTACTACTACTAAGGTAGATATTTTACTTAAAGTTGCAGTTGGTAACTTTTAGAAGAATAATTTTTTTTCATATTTGCTGAAATTGACAGTAGAACACCAGACAGATAATCTGTGAAATAATCTGGTACCTCTGGCTCCTCCTAGTGCTTCTAAAGGCATTTTCAAGATTACACCACACCTGAAAGAAAACAACCAATCAGAGCCAAGAAAGATGATGATGAGTGTGGAAATGAGACTCAACAAACAATTGGCTCTGATTGGTTGTTTTCATTCGCCCGGTGAATTCTTTCAAATCCCCTGTGTCCCTTCGGGGCACTAGGAGGCGCCAGAGGAAGCTGATTTTTTCACAGATTATCTGTCTCATGTGCTACTGTCAGGATATAGTAAAAGCTTCAGCAAATATGACTAAAAGTTATTTTTATAAAAGTTACCTACTGCAGCTTTAAGTTTCAAAATAATGATGTAGCCTGCAGTCATATAATATAATATGCTACCAGAACTGTGCGGGGTATCTGTCTTGTTTCATGCAAAATGGCCTCCATTGTTTTTGCTTTCTTTCTTTGTACCTAAATTTAAGTAGCCGTATGACACAATAAGTAACTTATGTCTTCATACAACACAATTACACTGTAAATCTTAGGCTGTATTATAAAGTGTTACAGGTGTTTCTAGGCGAACATGCACACCAAGTCGCCCCTACAGGACACCGAATAAAGACTGTGTTGTTTCTTTCAGCCCGCTGTACGACCTGTCAGCCATGGAGCTGCAGTGCAGCGACCTGGAGGTGATC